TGCTCCCGAGTCATTACAACTATTCTTAGAAATGTCAGAGAAATGTTTCGTCCGAAGGAATACTAGCTGTTAAGCCAAAGTCAAATTGAATTGAACATCCAAAAAGACTTACGTTATATTTTCACACCCTTTGCTGACATACGCGTTGTTTTGTGATACTGAAATTGTAAAATCATCAATTTCCTTCACAAAAAATAAAAAAGTTGGAAGCTGAAGTCCTTGAAAGTCCTTGAAATCGCGAAAAATAAAAATTTATTCACTGATTCAAGTTATTTTTATGTATTCTATTTACTTTATCTTCCTTAACTTTTACTTTCTGAACGACTCGCTACCTACTTTAAACATGGGTATATGTTCTAAAAATGATGACGACAAATGATGTAAACAATTTGTTTTACTGCCAATTTTTGGTGTTTGGTGAAAAATCGCTGGAAGTTCGACGGTTTTTGTGTCCAAATTTTCATTTCTGTTTAGTGTCAATAAAATGAATCGCTAAAATGGTGCCGAAATGAGCCATAGCAAGGGAAGGGAGATGGATTATCGAAAAAGGTAAAACAAAACTATGGCAAGAGTAGTAAAATAAACAAAGCTATGTACGTAGTACTGTTTTCAAGCAAGTTCTTCATCATGGAAATCGATGCTGTCTAGGTAGAACAGCACCTGTTCAAAATATCAGCTATCGAATCCCCTTCTTCCCTCGAGCCATATATAAACTTAGAAAGGTCAGATACTAGCAATTTTCAATCGATAAATATTAATATCATACTTACTTGAAGTTTTCACGCAAAGATCTCCATAACAGACACCATGTCCACACTGATACGGTTGATTACATTGATAACATCGCAATTTCAGCACTGAAATTGTTGAGCTTTTGGACGATACCTTTGAAACTACAGAGAATTAATGCTTTATGAATCAAAGGATCTGTTTTTGTCTCCATCGTCTTTTTTTAGGGCCCACCACACCTCTAGCCTTAANNTTAACCAAAATTGTTGACTATGTAAAGTACGACTTCAAATGTACAAATTTACACCGATAAATATGAGGCATGCATTTAAAATATACGAGATAAACGTGAAATTTTCATATAAAAATTGCTGTTAAGAACCGACAATTAATTTTATTTTGGACGTCTTCCCCCTCCCTGGACAAATTCTCCAGTGGTTGGTCAATCCAAGAATGGAATGAACAAGTGGCTAGAATCGGATATCAACCTTAACCCTGACGCTTACTACACGAGGGGTGTACTTGTAGTGATGGTCACACCTGAATTTAACATTGCTTAAGCTCAGCATCTGGGGGAATGGGAACCAGTCAGATATCACTCACAAATTCACGTAAGCTGACAACTTCCACTATCTTTGACTAAAGGGCACAAAAGGAAGCCGGCAAGCTTTCTTCAGCTGTGTATAAATCTAGATGTTTCGACCCAAGCAGCCTGATGACCTTCAAGAGCTTTTGAAGCTCCTGTTGCCAGCAATTCGCAGGAATACTTTCACAGAAAATCAGCAGGCTATATTACTTGTTGATAGTCTGTGACAGCAACGTTATCTATTGCTTGATGTAGGAGGAGGAAGCCTTTTGAATTGAAAATTCTCTGACAGTGAATAGTACTGAGGTGATCTCAAGGTTTATGGGTATGGTTCAAGAACAGAGAAATGATCAGGATAAGCGCCAGATTTGGAGTGGCTTGGTGCCCTTAACCATAAACTTTTGATTACCTCAGCATCAGCCAATGTAACAGAATTGTCAATAAAAGGTTCCCTTCTCCTACATCAAGCAATATATAACGTGATTCAGTGTTTGGGTCAAATTTTGGAAAAAAAAAATTTCCCAGATTACTTCTGTAGTTTCAAACTATAAGTGGTTCTGTAGCCGAGAATGGCAACTAGCATAGTTGAAATTGTTAGATGAAAACTCGATTGTACCATACCCAATGTGAATCTAAGCTCAAGACTTCTGACCGATTATTACAGAAAAGGCATATTCTCATGAATGATAGAAGGAATTTTCACACAACATTCGTACAACTTACAATTTTTACTAGCGTATTCATTGGTATAGGCGAACGTCGTAGCTATTAGAAACGACATCAATGCCAGGCAACACCTCATGACATTTCTGGAAAGATTCATTTTATCACCACGAAACGAGAGGTTCTTCGATACACGGCGACATTGGCGAAGAAGCAGAAATAACGTTAGTTGACCGATAAACACAATGAATCAGAGAAGCCAAGTGAAAAGTGGATTAAAATCATGAGATTCACAGATTCATAGCAGAGAAGGTCTGTCTTATTTGCTGTGTTATCCAATAAGATGAAGAAAATATAGAAAATGGTGAAGGAGAACGAAGCTCACTCTTCGATGACGGCAAAGTTCTGAGACTTGAACAGATCCCTTCTGAGACCCGCCTACGTTCTCGACTTTCATTCATAATCGTAGAAGTGATTGAGTGCGTTACTGCCCTATGGAAGCTTTTGGCGATGTATAAATCAGTGATTTCATTCATTTTGATAAATCCTGAGCAACCAAAATGACCCTCATAGAACATGAAGTTCTGCTAACCCTGATGAATTACGATCCAATATCTGAATCCCGACCCGCCCTTGGCACTACCCCACATCCGCTTTTTGAATTCTCAAGGAATATTTTTAAAAAAAGGGGAAGAAGGCGTTTGATCAGAAGGTCGTTCTTTCCTAGTTTTCCATTTAGAATTCCCTGTCGGGAATCTTTGGGGCGACACAAACTGAGCAAATTCAAAACCAAGAAATGACGGTCACAAAAGAACGGGGGAGGGGGGGAGAGAATAATGAAAAAATGAAATTGACAAAAAAGAAAGGAAAAAATGGAAGAAAAATGGAGTAGCCATCGAATTGATGACTCCTTTCTAGTCTTGAAAGAAGCCGTGGTGTCAAAACAGAAGCCCACAATTGGATGTTAGCGCCTATTTGGATTACTAAAATAAACAAAGATCATATTGTTCTGCATATTTCTACAGACAAGAGCGTTTTTAAACATTTGGACATTTGAAAAGGCCTAGAAAGGGAAAAAACGGAGGTTGAAATGACTAATTAAGACTTTTAATGCATTTCCATTGTAAGCGTAAAAGAATTTAGTGCCTTCTGAGCTCATGCACCACAGTCTACTCACAAAGGAACCCTTTTTTGATGCCGTACCAACCCACAGATAGTAGCCAAAGTAGGGAAATCAGAAGCGAGAAGGGACAAAAATCTCGTACATAATTTCCATTCACTACCATGAAAATAATCTAAAAGTCCCGAACATATGGTAAGTGATCGATGCAGTTTACAACTGTGATCCAGAGCTTCTACATGATAAGGCACCCAAATACGTCACTCGGCATTTTTGGGTGGGTCGGGTAAACTTTTTAAAACGGCTCCAGAACTCTATCGTATCGCTTCAAAAATACAGTTACTATCGAAAAACGCTGCCACTGGTTCCGAATTTCATGTCTAAATGAAATTCAAAACTTATTTCAATCGACTCCGGACATCAAGCACCAGCGTTTCCATGACTGCGATTCGACAATTCCTGAGAAAATAAGTAGCAATAAGGCGAAGAAGAATAAAAATCGTGAAAGAATTGTGTAGAGAAGAGTCACAAACAGAAATATATTTTTTTAAAATTTACAAAGCACTTTAAAAAAGGATGTCTCCACAAAACTTATCACAGAGATGGTTAGAACCACGGGATTCATCTTAACCGGCCTTAAGTAACTTGTTTTCGTATAGTACTCTTAGAAACCATAGCCAGATCTTCACCAAATAAAAGTGTTATCGTGCCCCTGATCATGACCCAGTTGAAATGCTTCCCTGCTGAATGTCTCACCTGGGAATTGCAAAAACGCCTTTGCAAAAAAATCTGCTGAAGCATTTGATGGGCAACTGACGAGACTCTATAGCATTGAAGCCATGGAAAAAAGGCTTCATACATCAACCTCCAAATTATCCGCACATTTCCTTCCACAATACCTTTCCTTCTTTCGCGATTTTTTCACAGAGAGCATTTTTACTAAAGGCGTTTTCATAAGATCCATCAATAGCCCAGAATAGACGCCAAAAAACCATAGAACTGGCAAAGCGAACCTGTCGAAGGAATAGTACGAATCTTCGAAAAGCGAGCTCTAAAATATCACCCCAAATACAGTGCATAAAAGCCATTAAGAAGTCGAAGACAAACGGGTGCTCGGTAGTATAAGGTATAAGAGCACGGTACCCGGATAGCACAAGTGCGGGTTCATGTCCCATCCGAGGTCGGAGTTTTGTCCACAACTTGCTAACCTTGTGAGACAGCGCATGAAAATCTTCGACTGGAGATCCAGCTGACAACCGTACTCGCTCTAAAGATTCAGATAAGCCGAGATTCCTTCAGAAATGGCATCTTGATGATGGCTCAACGTTCTAACCCATAGAAGATTCACATGGTCTCCGTTGACGGCCAAAAGATCCCCTGCGAAATAAAAAAGAAAGTATCAAACTTAAAGGCACTGCACTTACGACCCAATTTCTATATGCCCAATTTCTATATGTCTATATTTACTTTGCTGATATGCCCGAAAAAAAAACAAGAAATGTAGCTCCGCTTTTCGACCTTCCGGTATAAAATACATGCCAATAACTGACCATTTGTAGAGGTTTTACTCGCATTTCGGGAAATTGATCACAGGATTCTTCTGATGAATTATCAAACCAGAGTAAGAGACATGAGAATTTTTTCCAAAAATTTTAAATCAGCCAGGGTTTGAGCAACTTAAAATTCCCATCAACCCTTCCCTTCCCCTGTTCCCTCCCCTTCTATGTGTTCTGAAATGCCAGGTAGGCATTTCAGTACACATAGAAGGGGAGGGAACAGGGGACATAGAAGGAAAAAGAAAAGGAAAAAAAGTCAAAAGAAGCTAAAGAAGCCAAGCAGCAAATGATGCTTGCAGTCTGAGAGTCTTCTTAACAAAAAGTTTCGAAAGATACCGTTGAATTCGAAATGATCAATTAACCAATTGAAGCCCATAGAAACATGCATTCACTTCACAAATGAGCCCTAAAGACATCGTTAAAGCGCCCCTATGCATAATAAAGGATGTCAAGCGCATACTGAGACAGCTGCTGCTTGGGACATTGATATAATGCGCTTTTAGTGCGGCGACCTTTTAAATTGAATTGGCGAAATTTAGTAGTAACAGTCGGCACTCTATCGTAATGGGTCTCCAGTTGTATTCCGACACGAATACGTTGGAATGTATGTGAGAGATTAGATAGCAAGGAAAGAAAATGTAGACCAACATCTTTTTGTCGAGCAGTTTTTGGCCATAGTGCAGTCTAGACCCCGAACTTGTGAAATTCCATACGAAAATCCATTTTTGGGATCTTGCGGCCATGATCCGAAAGGTTTTCTTCGGTATATCTGACCATTACCATTTTCTGAGGCAGAGGTAGGTAAGTGTGAAGAGGTGCCGTTACCACAAGCAGGGTAAGGAAATCAAATACGGGGCTAGTAGTCGTCCAGGTCAGCTGAGCCCTCCAACCTTCCGAAGCTTATAGCTGAGAGTTAACCTAATAAAGAATGCATCTTAAAAGCAAAAAACTGAATGTCAAGCTGGAGATGTCAAATTATGATCACTACAATGAGGGATACAGGAAATCCCATCCTCCCTTTCTGAAATTGGAATGAAAATTCTGCCGACCACCGGAACCATAATAGCTAGACTGATGGTTAAGCGCACTCATTCGAGCTATACATTAGATTGCCACACAGCTGCCTGGTCACACCCATTCAGAACTCGGATTCCTCCGGATTATCGGAAGAAAATGCTCACAGAGAGCTTCCTGAAGAGTTGCAAAAGCTTGTTCTTCTTCAGCAGTAACGATTCGGGTATAGTATGGAACCGAGTACGCTGATGAAGTGAACCGTAAGAATATGCACCTGAAGGGTAGGAGACCAGTTTTATATGCTTTCTATGGAGGGAAAAAAGCAGTGGTCTCTTCTCTTTCAATCTCTCCAATTTCGAGAAAACAGCTCGATTTATGTATTACCACATTTTTGACTTTTTGAAAGCTCCCATAGAAGTCGATTTCGGGAAAACCCATTTCTCCAGATGGAAATCTACTGTTTAGAAGAGTGAAATGCAGTAAAGTTGTGGTCACTAGCTTCAACTTCAACACGGTGATCTCATATCGCTCACCACCATCACCTCCCTTCCATTACTCCCGAAAGTATACATAATTACAATTAATTACATTGAGAACGATGAAAAAATCGTGTTCGCTTTAACGGCAAGACTTAAAATTTCGTGGCAACCTAAGAATTTTTCGCTCTGGAAATCATGGTAACGACCTGTAGCGTCGTAGAAACATTGGTACTGAAGCGTTCTCCGGAAAAGTTTCTTTGTACCTGAAATCACTACAAGCCTCATACGAACTCGAAAGTTTTAGAGGATAACGCACCTAAACACGAAAGCATATGGATCATACTGTGGGTCACACTTAAACTGACGCTGAGGGCATGCTGGGCCTGCCTCTCAAGGAGGCTGGAGGATCTCGAAAATCGCAAGGGGAAAGGGTTCTCCTAGGTAGATCTAACTGAGTCAGGTATAATTGGCATCTTCTGGTGTCATGTGGCATGGACGAGCAGAGGCCGTCAGAAGACAATGATCTATCCTTATTTCCAAAATAATCTGTGGGAA